CTGTCTGAATATGTTAATTGCCATTTTTTCATAGCTCTCTATTAAACAGCACAGATAAAATAGGCACGCTCATGATTTTAAGCCCTATCAGCCACTCACCCTCAAAGGATCGGGCAACACGAGTAAATAAGGGGGAGCAGCTTTTTTTTTAGTGTTTAATTCTTTTAACATATATCGGCATTTGGGACCCCACTTCAATTCAAAAGCATATGTTAGAGTTAGCATTAAAGTGAAAATGAAATGAGGTGGTTATCTCCCATATGCCACTGGCTTCGTTACATCACAAAGAATTAGCTCAAATAACAGGACAGCAATGTGAAGCCTCTTGCTGGTAAATTCCCCCACTCTAAGGAAGTAAGTATAAATATTTGGGAAAAGGCAAGAGATAGAGAAATTGAGAACTTTCGACTCACGGTGGTATTCATTTAAGAGCAGCTCACTTAAATAAGTCAAGTACAAGCCAATGTAGAATGATATTATCATTAATCGAGGAGCCTGGATGATCCAGGAAATGGGTAGAAAGGTCTGGTTAACATTTGTGGACTATATTTAACAAGTGATTAAAAGAATTCACTTTTGTATTTCGTGTATCCCCAAAGGAAGCAGAATTTACAGATGTAAATTCAAAAACAACATCAATGCCAGACGTGAAGTAAAAACCATCAGTAGAAAAAGAGTCATATTTTTATTCCCATCATGACTTAATGAATCAAACCACTCTTAATATTCATTTAGCATTTATGCAGTTTCCAGTGCCTTAATTTTAATTTTAAGCATTTACATTAAACAAATTACATATCATTATAGTGCACTGAGAAGGGGAAAAAAAACCTACACAATAAACCTTAAGGCGATGACAACATATTTTACCCTGAACTGCCTTGTTTACAAATATTAAATGGTCAAATTAATAGCATTCTTCATGGCTTTTTGGCATCTAAAATTTTTCACAAATGAAAATAAAGCAACCAAAAAGATAAAACTCTGGTGGTAAAGGTTTATTGGTCTTTGTACCTCATTAAAGGGACTTTATAAATCACATTTGTTCTTTTGAGTAGCAACTAACACTGCTGAAAAGGACAGGTTGGGTTTTAAAAGAGACAGATATGACCTAAAGGGAACACATTTTACTGTAGTGAAATAAACTGAGGAAACAGTTTGCAGATTAAAAACCGCTTGAAAGGAAGCATCATCTCTGGGAGAGAAAAAAAAAAATCTTCGCGGAGGAAAACAGCTGGAAACAGGAAGCTTTGGCGCTTTCATCCTGCGGGTTTTGATTCCACTGCATCCCCGGATCATGAAAAGGCAAAGAGACCGACTTCAGCTGTGCCTCCTTTCAACAGAAGGAGGAAAGGGCTCTGTGGGTTGTGAGCAACCCCATCCAGAAGATCCCCTCCCAGATCATCCAAACACTAACAATGAAGTGGAAAAAGAGGACCGGCCAGAGAGAAGCAGCAACTCAAACATCAGTGTTTTACAGGTTTTACAACGAAAGGAGGATATTCGTTATGACTTAATTGTTTCAAATTCAATTTTCATATGAATTTGAAATCCCCTATGTGAAAAAAAAAACTAACCAAAATAGATACACTAATTATGATAAGTTTTCTTCTCTCTCTACTTTTTTTCCCTTCTTTTTTTCTCGTTATGGAGAAAAGGAGTTAGATGTTACATCTTTCACCAGGATCCTCCCACAACACCTTATGTCCTTAAATCTAAAGTCACTGAATTCTAGTTTGCACTATTCTTAGCTTTCTAAAGTCCTTAAACTAATCTGTTGGGCATCTCATATAGATTTTTACCCCACTGGTACCTTGAAACAATTCTTACTAAGTTTACCATGACATTTGAAGGACAATGTAGCACAGTGAAGGAAGCTTGGATTAGAAGTTTAGATCATTCTTGGTAATCAGAAAGAGCAAACATTTCAATGAACGGACCATACAAACCTAACACACCCAACTCACAATTTACTCTTTTGTTCCTATTTTGGGATGCCTTTTAAAGTAGAGATTGCACAGCCAGACACAATGGAGGGAAATGTAAACATAATTCTGACCCTGGAAACTGTAACCAATGGCATTATAATAGTACCTATGTGACATCTCGTATCTTTCACAAAGATGATGTGATTCACATACAATTTAAGGAAAGGAACTTACACGCAAGTTGGGGAATTAACTAATTCTTTTTTCTAAAGCTATTTCTTAATAGACAGGAAAATGTCATAGCATAAGAGGTTTCTCGCAGGATACGTAAAATGAATATTAAATTCCTCTTAACAGACAGCTTGAAAGAAGGTATCTTCAGATATTCAACCTTAAAGTGGAACGCTTTGATTCCATGGTAACATTCCAATTTCTAAAAAATGTCTACTGTTGACACTTGGTATGTGCCAACTCCTCACCAATAGATATTAATTACCTTTGATTTATCCTTATTCATTCTGAATATCTCTTATCTGAACGACTTTAGTTGCTAGTGAAGTACAGCCTAACTTTGAGATTCCTCATGTCAGGTGATCCTAACCGCATTTGTCTCTAAAATTAGAGTGATCCTCGCCATCAAAAGAAAATAACTTAGTTATCTGTGTCCAATTTTGAAGGTCTATTTCCTAGTCAGACAAAATACAATGAATATCAAAACCAGAAAATTTTTACTACCATGCACTGCTGGAAATTCCAAGCTGGAAAGGCATGAATTAAGTCTGGATTTTTGCTGTTTTGGCCATCATCGATTTAATCATCATCATCATCACCACCACCACCACCAACCCTCTTCTACGCTTGTGAAAGGAATTTTCACATATTATTTCATCCACTTTCAAAAGCAGCCTAAGAGGAAGGCAGAACAGGCATCCTCGTCCTTATAGGATAGATGAGTAAATGGAGCTCAAAGAGGGGAACTGTCCTAAGGTCGCAGAGGGGTTAGCGACAGTGCCCAGGTCTCCAGTAGAGCTGCAGAGGTTCTCCGCGAGTACGAATCTAACCCTGCTTCATTACCTCCACCAAAACCTAGAAAGTGACCCGCTCAAGTTCCACCACTGTCACATCCAATTACAGAATTCTGGTTCTATTCCAGCACATTCCAGGGAAACTGAGTTTCTTTAGGCAACAACGCTAATAAGTCCCTGTAGACGTACAACATATACATCAAAGAGCAGAGAATAACACAGCCAGCTTGTCTCCGAAATCTACTCTAATTCTCCTAATGTAGTCTCCTCACCTCTGCTCTCCTGAACATGTGTTCATTCCAGAACATGACTGAGCAACAATGACGTAGCAAGGTCATTGTCAAGGTTATAAGTTTGAATCCATAAATGCTGCCCCCATGAAGTCTGTTAAAAAGGGAAGAAATGCACACGTGGCGGAAAAAGCACCTCACGCCTGTTGAGTATACATGGGAACAAAACCACGCCCGAGCTTATCTCTTTGAATCCTTACAACAATTACGTGAAGATGGAAATGGAGCCTCAGGAAGAAAGTCTGAGTTTTGTCCAACGCTCCACAAACGAGCGACCTCAGAGCTGAGACTGATGGCCAGGCCCACATGCAGAGTGTAGGCACTGTGACCAGTTCCTCAAAGATTGCCTCGAAGAACAGGAAGGCAAGCTAGGCATTTTTTTCAATTCCATAAGAGAAATTCAGAAAGGATGTTTTTCAGTTCAGAAGGCCTATTTCTCTACACGAAGAGTGGTGGTTCCTAGTAACTTTGGCAGCACCAGGCTCTCTGAGGAAAAGAAATGCTACTAATATTTGAGTAAAAACAAAGAAACATTTTAATCACTAGTTATAGCATCCTGATATTGTGAACACTATGTTTCCTCAGTGCTTTAGAAAAACGATTATGTCATAAGCCATTAAATTTCTTATAATTTTAATCCACCTAGGCTTTGATTTAGAAACATCAGAGAGGAGGCAAGTCATTCTATGCCTGAAAATAGGTCTTAATACCAAAAGTAAACGGTCAAAAGGCACAAACTTCTAGTTATAAGATAAATACTGGGGGTGTAATGTACAGCCTGGTAACTATAGTTAACCATGCTGTATTGTGTATTTAAAAGCTGCTAAGAGAGTAAATCTTAGACTTTCTCAACACATGAAAAAAAAAATTTATAACAACGTAAAGTGATGGATGTTAACTCAATTTACCGTGGGGATCACGTCACAAAATACAAAATCAAATCATTATGCCGTACATCTAAAACTAACACAACGGTTATGTTTCAAATATATTTAAGTAAAAATAAAATAACATCATATGTGCTAATTTGTAGAGATTAAAGGCCATTCAATTTGCATTCCCATTTTTTTGAGGCAACTAAAGTTATCGCTGGTATTTAACTTGGATATATTTATTACTTCATTATTAAAACAATATAAGTACATTAGAGAAAGTGTATAAACTAAATTTAAAAAAAAGAAACATAATAGATGAGGCAAATCACTGTACTGCGACACACTGGAATCAATACCAAAAGTAAACAAAAGCACACACACAAAAATAAAGTGACAGAGATATACTATATTCACTCAGGTGTCCTCAGGGCCCCAGTCTGCATCTGCCCTGTATGCACACAGCATGCCCGCATAGCCTCTGACTTGTCCTACTGGCAAAATGTACTGCAGTACCAACCTTAAAAACCACACAGGGTATTCAAGCAAAATAGACATGCTCTGCCATACTTGGCAGGAAAACCCTAATTCAAAGCTTCCAAGTCTCCCCCAAGAACAAGCAATTATAAGGTGCAGAAAGGCAATGGCTTTAAAACAACACGCTAATCCTAATATTAGTACCTTGAAAAAGGAAAACTGCCAAGATGTTGGAATCATGCCCAGTTATCCGTCTTACCTACAGCAATAAAACTGTCCTATAAATGTGAACAAGACAGTTAGCATATATTTTGGAGTATCGGGTATTTTTTCTGCCTCCTCATTCTCTAGGAGGACAAACCTGACCTATGGGGACAAAACACAGCAGATGGCAATCCAGCCCGGTACCAAGAGCACTCAGTCAATCCAAATAATCTGCACAAAAATGAACCAAGATGTTCAGTGATGTATGGCCCCAATTTCTCTAGACAATTATGGAATCCTACTCTCCTACAAAGGCACCTTTTTATTGTAATATGCTGGGTAGCCAGAGTGTCTAAAAACCATATTATTATTAATAAAGTAATAATTAGTATATAATTATTAAAAATATAATGATAACTACATTATAGCTAAGACTTATGCCAGGCACTCTTTCTTTTCATTGAAGTATATAGTTGATTTACAATGTTGTGTTAGTTTCAGGTGTACAGCAAAGGGATTCAGATGTGGATATATACACATCTATTCTTTTTCAGGTTCTTTTCCATTATAGGTCATTACAAGATGTTGAATATAGTTCCCTATGCTATACAGTAGGACCTTGTTGTTTATCTATTATGTGTGTGTGTGTGTGTGTGTGTGTGTATCTGTTAATCCCAAACTCCTAATTTATCCCTCCCCTTTTTCCTTTTGGTAACCATAAGTTTCTTTTCTATCTTTGTGAGTCTCTTTTGGTTATGTAAGTAAGTCCACTTGTATTATTTTTTTAGATTCCACATATAAGTTATGTCATATATTTATTTGTCTTCTTCTGTCTGACTTACTTCACTTAGTATGATAATCTCTAGGCCCATCTATGTTGCTGCAAATGACATTATTTCATTCTTTTTTATAACAGAGTAATATTCCATTGTGTATATATACCACATCCTCTTTATCCAGTCATCTGTCAGTGGATATTTAGGTTGCTTCCATGCCTGGTGGCAGGCACTCTTGTAAGTAATATACAAGAAATAACTTCTTCAATCCTCACAGCAATTCTATGAAATTATTACACCCATTGTATAGATAAGTAAACTGAGAAATGGTCTGAGAAATGGACTAGAACAAGGAATGATGACATGGAGAACCAAGTTTCAAACCCAGGATATATGGATCTGGTCCATGTGCTTAGCCAGGATACTGGTATGAGAGCAGGTTTAGTCTAAGGGTTATTGCAAAAATAAAAAAATACAACGCCTTTACACTGAAAGATGATTAGGGCTGGACTCCGCTGGTCTGCTGTTCAATACTTCAGCTCCATAGAGACACTTCTTTGAGCAATGAGGCTTTTCATCTGTGAAATGAAGGAGTAAGCAAGACACTGGAAAACCTGTTCTTTCAGTTTTAAAGATTTCAGATTCTGATGTGAAATCCTTAAATCTCAGTTTTACTTAAAGACCAGATCATTTTTTATCATTGTTCCAGATCTAGAAATACTGATCACTTACAGTGGAAGTCAAACAGCAGCAGTTTTCTCTCCAGTTCAGCGATCCTCCACCCATGTGATTCTGCTATGAAACAGCACTTCCTCTCTCTGCACAGAGGATTAGGCTACTTTCTAATAAACGTAACTCCAACAAACCCAGGAGGACTGTGGCTGCAACTTCCCAGCTCTCAGGGAGTACCAGACATTTTGGATTAAATATGTGTGTGTGTGTGTGTATACATATATATATTCAATAATTCTCTGATCAGCTTTCTGATTCTAAAACCACCTTTTCTTTCTACATGATAAAGCCAAATGTCCAATGGAAAAACATCAGCCAAAATAATGCATACTTTAAAAGGTGCACGCACACACACACACACACACACACACCCACAGAGATATTTCCACAAGCAAGCATGCACTCATTCACTTCAACACAATTATTCTACGTAATTACCTTTTCTTTTTTCCTTACCAAAGAGTTAGGTACTTCTACGCAGTATAGCCGCAAGTTAACAGGCAACTGCACATGTGCAGGGAAAGGAGGGAGCCATCTCTGCACCTGCCAGGCAACAGCAGTGGTGGCAGCCACAGAGGTATCCACTGAACTCTAGCCTGGGCAGAAGTGCTGGTGGATGGGGATGGGGGGGTGGGAGATTTTACTGCCTAAGGACAAACTACCCAGTAACTGACTGGGCTCAAGGATTAGTGTTGATGAGCTTTGCTCAGCTTCTCCAGCTCCTAAAAATCATCCTGGCAGAGCTTGCCCTACTGACAGAGGAACTGACCCACAGGACTGGGGAATGACTATAACAAGCCGGGAACACTGATGCAAACTTGTGGCCTAGAAAGTTCCATCCTCAAGCTGATGCTCACCTTCAGCAAAAGGCAGACCTCGTGGAGGTCAGCGGGGCCTCCTGACCAGAGGGCCAGTGGCCATGGGACGAGGTGGCTGGAGGACCTTATCCCCAGTCCACACGATACACTCCGAAACCTTCTCCCAACCCCACCAACAAAATGCCTCTCAAACCTCTTATGATTTGACATCTGCAGCTGCAAATTCATTTAAAGTGAAACTAAAAGCACCTTCAGAAAAATGTGCTCCTTTGACTCGATCTACAAGACAGCCAAGGTCAAGTCAGCGGGCTTCCTAAGCAAACGGTATCTGTTTCACCCCGCCCCGCCCTTCTAAAGGGACTGCCTCTCCTAACGCGATTCCACTGCAACCACTTCTGAGAATGATTTCTCAATGTCAATATTTTGCTGGATTTTCTAATGCAATTATTATTTCCAATGATAACTGAGGGACTGCCCCGTTACATCTTTCCTCTCTAAAACAGATGATGCTAGGGGCTTGAAAATAACTTGTTGAGCAGTTCCTATGAGCTAAACACTGTTCTAAAGGCTTCAGATGTCTTAGCTCCTTTCATTCTCATAACCTGATGAAGTAGGTACTCGTATTATCCTCCCTTAAGGAGAAATTATGTAACTGTGTTGCTCCAGGTTCCAGGAAGTAAGTAAAAGAGCTGAGAATTAAAGCCAGGGTCCATGGTTTGGAAAGCCCACCCTTCCCAGCTTACACTTAACTTGCTCTTTCATTCTGCAATACCAGAAGTCTGCACAGTAAACACTGTGGTTGCCCTTGCCCCTTTATTCCTGGCAACACTTAATAGCAAACTGCAAATAACAAAATTGCAAACATGCTAGGTGCTACAAAAATCTTCATTTCATAATCCCTACAAGAAATATGCTTATGGGGTATTTAAAAGTAAGAAGTGCTTACTTTCAAAAAATAACGTGCTGACTTTAAAAAAATCCAAACAAAACTGAAACTGTATTTTGATTAACTGTTAAAACAGATGATCTGAAGTAAGGGTTAGAGTAAACATTCTCTCAAAAATTGTAGGAAGACTCTGTATGTGGTTAAACCTTAATATACCCTAAACAGGAAAACTACTCCGTTTCTGTGTTCGATAAATTGTTGATAAATTTCACACCAAAAATTAGATGAATTGAAATCAAAGTATAGATCTATAGATCTCCCCTTTGTCTGATTTCTGTAAGTATGCAAGTAACATTAAGAATTGCCTGTCAACTGACTATCTCCACGTATCATGGGTTTCCCAAAGTAACATTACACATAGAACAGATTTTTAACTCATATTGCTGCAGGACTAAGACATCCAAAGCCTTGATACTATCTAAATTGTTCTCTGCTAAAACCATAGTTACCTAAAAGCAAGCAGGTGTAGCAACAAAGAACACACAAGTGCTATAGACGCGTGAGTACCCTTGCACACACGCCTGCCCCCACCACCATCGCCCCACACACACCCAGTTCACATGCTGGTACCACCACTTATTTTTTCAGCCTTAATCCACTGTGCAGAAAACTAGTCAGAAAATATTTGGTATTTTCCTGACAGTAGAGTGTGTAAAAGAAACCCTCAGAATTACAAACCAAACTAAGTTCTGCTAGAAAACTAGAACACTGAGAAAATAACCTAATGAATATTTAAAGGCAACCGAGGTCATCAGGGGCAAAGCTCTAATGGCTCAATGTGACGTCCAAAATGACTGCCCCCAAATCCTCAGCCCCTCTGCACTAGGACAATAGAGGGTTATCTCTCAGCGAACATCATTCCTCAAAATCCTGCCTCAGAAGCACCTCTAGACCCTTAAATATCCTCCAAACCTGCTCCTGCAGGAATTCCTTTAAGCCAGACATTCCTGGGGTTCTGAGCCAAAAATAAAAGGAAAAGGGGATGAAAAAACCATGGGAAGTTAAAATGTTAGGACTCCCGCCAGGGAAATTCCTTTGGTGATCCGTCCCTATCTTCACTCTGAAAACTACCTTTGAAGGGTTGAAAATAATTTTCTTTGGAATTTTTCACACATTAAAATGACTGGGAAAAAAGTATCTAAAGCAATCATCTTAAGGAATAACTAAGAGAAATGAAAGCAAAACCAGATTTTTAATCAGCATTAGCTTTCCACTTTTTTCACACTGCTTTTCCCTTTCATGTTTGTCTCCTTTAAATTTCTGCTCAGCAAAACCCAGGTCTCCCCTCGCTGCAGTCACTCAATGACCGAGACTGACAGTGACCACAACTTCTGACTCAGACTGAAGGGTACAAATTCATAGCCTAAAACTCCAGATCCAGCCCTCAGTTTGCCCCTCAGACTGAGTCACAGCAGAAGACCAAAAGAGGTCTCCATTCCGGTATTTCTCTGTCTAGAGAGTTATGACACTCTTAGGTATTTTGATAGTTACAACAATAAAAAAATTCTGAGCTTAAAAAGCAAAAATGTTTATACCCTTTCTCATTACTTTCTCATGTATAGGTGTACAAATTGACAGAAATTTTTTTAAAAACTTCAAAGCATTACACGAATTCCTTATTCTAGACCAGGCATTTCAAACTGGGAATCTTTCTAACTGGTCTCAGACATAAAATGTCCAGTGATTCAACTTCGAAGCAGAGGATTCAGAAGTCAATAGATCAAACTTCTGGATCAAAAACTAGGCTTTCTAAATACAAGTAGAGTAAATATTTACCTCCCCTTTCCTCTTCCATAGGAATAGGAAGTAATAAATTCCCCCAACATATCTGGTGAATAAAACTCTAAAATACAACTTTGAAAGTTCATGAACTGGGATCTCCATTTAAAGAACCTTTCTTTTAAGGAGACTTTACTGTTAGTCTTCTTTGCTCCATGGAAACAGAGCATGAGTTAATGATGACGGTAGATTTTTCAGTTATTTGTATATATCAGTCAATAGAAGGGGAAATGAAATTGGCTGCGTGTTTATAAGCTACATTAGAAACCTGAACAATAGCAGACCTTTACTGAAACAAAAATAAAATATGAGTCAACAGAGATCCTTGCCAAACAGAGGTCTCAGGACAGCCTTGTTCAGTCTTCTGGGAATCCCACTCCAATAAGCACAATAAAAGCAGGACGTGCCTCATTTCCTTCAACCGCTCAACATGCCTCTCTTGGAGATGTTTGTAAATTTCCTTCCTCTACGCATCAGGCTGGCAAACTGTCGTCATTTCTTTGGGGTAATGATATCCTGTTGATGTCTGGGTAGCTCTGTTTTGAGTGTTCCCTCTACACAACACATATACTTTTAATATTATTTTTCAACACGATGCAGTAAATTATTTTTCGACATATCTGAACGTAGTTCAGCAAAGTACGATTTGATGAGAAGTAACGGAGGGCAGGAGATTTTAATAAAATGCTGGTTTTACTTGTGGATTTACAACCTAGATGTAGGCAATAAAGCAACTCCAACAGTAAAAAAGCATTCGCTGCTTTTTTTCTAAAACTGAAAATATTTACCTACGCTAGCATATTAATGTAAATGTTTTCATTCAACCCCTATGCTGGAGTTTGGAAATTTCACACAGCAAAAGAGCAGCCTTACCACTGAAAAGCTCACTTGTGAAAACGGCAACTTTTATTTAACTGCATATACAAATTGCACTAAGCACCTTAAAAACAGAGTTCTAAACTCATTCCAGAAGGTTAAATACACTATAAATTCAGTCAAATACAATGAGTGATTCAAAACTTTTACCTAAGTAATTTTTTTCAAAACTTAAAAAAAATGTATTTAGGCCTGAGAGTATATTTCTTAGACAAAGAATTTTTACCTAAACTAAATAATTCCAGACAAATATATTTCTCAATAACCTTATATGATGTAAAGGAAGAAAATATAGAGTGACAGCTTTGCAAAGGAATACTCAAAAAGCAAAATAAGACTAACTCTCAACTAACGTAATTTGCACTTAGGCAGACATTCTGGTTCCAAAGACAGCAAAAGCTAATTTGTGAAATACTAAAAAATAATTGATCATCGCTGCAAAGCATGAGATTTGGACCTAAATTAAATGGCATGTACCATTCACTGCAATTTCAGATAATACCTTATTTAGCACATGAAATAAGAACCATGGACGTGAAAAATGTCCAACGTCATTAATAATCCAGAAAATACCAATTTTAAAAAGAACACAATCAGGCACAATTTTTCTGTTACCAAGTTAGTAAGATAAAAATAATACAAATTGGCACAGTGTTCCTGGACAGCAATTTGGCAAGATATGTAAAAAGCCTTTCACCTAATAATTCCCAAGGAAACAATCCTAATATCTTTGCAAATGAGGACAAGTACTTATATCTACACAGTGAGGATATATTATAGTTTCAATCAGAACAAAAATTAAGTTTAGATACGCATGTATATGTTTGTATGTGTGTGTATATATATAGATATACAGTCCCTGACTTTAAGGGTCTCATAAACTATTATTCAAAATTAATTAAATTCAAATAGAGGTGGGGAGCGTGATGCACAGGTGATTGAGAAGCAGCAGAACGTTGATAACTGTCCAAGTGTATAATGGAGACATGGGTGTTTATTTTACTATCCTCTTTATACATATTTGACATTTTTCCAAATAATAGTAACAATAATCAAAAGGCATGGAAAATGCAATGCGTCCTAAGAGTTAGACTAATAAATAATATAAAAGTTCAGAAATGAGAAAAGTTCATGTCTAGAGGAAGTACTGAGAAATCCGTGAACAACTAAGAAGAT